CACTTGCCTATTTATATAGTAAAGAAATTAATTTACTTTTCTTTTTTTCCTTGATCCTTTCTGCCTCTCCCCTACCTCCCAAATCATCATCTTCTTCTTCTTTTTTTTTGAGACACAGTCTTGCTCTGTCACTCACATTGAAGTACAGTGGCACGATCACAGCTCACTGCAGCCTTCACCTCCTGGGCTTAAGCAATCATCTTACCTCAGCCTCCCAAACAGCTGGGACCACAGGCGTGCACCAACACTCCTGGCTAATTAAATATTATTTTGTTATTAATGGAGTCTCCCTATGTTGCCCAGGCTGCTCTTGAACTCCTGGGCTCAACCAATCCTTGGCCTCCCAAAGGACTGGGATTAAAGGTGTGAGCCACTGTGCCTGGCACCAAACTTTCTTGACATCTAACTACATTGTAAAATCTGTAGAGTGCAGGTCTACTTAAGAGCCTGAGTTCTAATACCAGACTACCTTGGTGTGAATCCCAGCTTGCCCCAACTTGTTAACTGGGCTATCCTCCGTAAGGTACTTAAACTCCTTGTTCTATAGTTTTCACTTCTGTTAAAAAAGAAAAATGAACAGAATCTACCTTACGGGCTCATGGTATGAATTATTTATAAAGTCCTTCCTGATAATAATAGCTAGTTATTATTATTATTAATGTTTATAATAGCTAGTTATTATTAATAATTAATAATTATTATTAACTAGCTATTAACATAAATCTTCACCTCATCTCACAGATAATCAGTATCTTCTTTTCCTTAATTCAACAAAACCACAGTCTGTAGATACTGCATATTTATTTTGAGAAGTCTTTTGTTCAAGCGATTCTTCTGCCTCAGCCTCCCGAGTAGTTGGGATTACAGGCATCTGCCACCATGCCTGGCTAATTTTTGTATTTTTAGTAGAGACAGGGTTTCACCATCTTGGCCAGGCTATTCTTGAACTCCTGACTTCATGATCCGTAGCCTCCCAAAGCGCTGAGATTACAGGCGTGAGCCACCACGCCTGGCCTTGAGAAGTTTTAAGGGAGTGTGGCTGGTCTAACAGGTTCTTTTCTTTTCCTTTCTTTTTTTTGGAAATGGAATCTCACTCTGTCACCCAGACTGGAGTAAAGTGGCGTGATGTTGGCTCGCTGCAACCTCCACCTCCAGGTTCAAGCAATTCTCATGCCTCAGCCTCCCAAATAACTGGGATTACAGGTGCCTACCACCATGCACAGCTAAGTTTTGAATTTTTAGTAGAGAAGGGGTTTCACCATGTTGGCCAGGCTGGTCTCGAACTCCTGAACTCAAGTGATTCACCCACCTCAACCTCCCAAATTGCTGGGATTACAGGTGTTAGCCACCACACCAGGCCTGGTCTAACAGGTTCTTGCAGCACATCTCAGGAAAGTGGCCCTTGTGGTTCAGTTCAGCTCTGGCAGAACATGCTGAAGTTTGACAGTGGACTCAGGTATACCTATCGGCCTTGAGCTCCAGGCCAGCCTGGGACCCCCCAGGGCCACCCTAGGGATTGCAGTTCCACAGAGCATGGTGCAGATCTGACACGGCCCCATCCACTCTCTGCCACTAAAATTATGCCCCGAATGCTCTGCTTCAAAAGCACGGCACTTCCCTGGGCTAGTCCTGCTGTTTCTTGCACTGCCCATGCTTGTTCATCTTTACTTGGAAAACCTTTCTTCTCCTCACTCCCTGGCAAACTTCCACTTTCCCTTCCAGGTTTTATTTAACTCTTGTTTCCTCTATCTGGAAGCCCCCTCAGCAGTGCCTGCCCTCTGTGCCAAGTCTCCTAGTTATGTCTATTCTGGTATTTTCCAGATTAATGGACACAATTCTGGCTGACTCTTCCGATAGACTGCCAACTCCTGGAGAGCCCAGCAGAACAGGGAAGGTAGTTCTGAATGATCAAATGATGGGCAAGCCTTTTGGACTTCTTTCAAAATTAAGCTCATGGGCTTTTGATCAGTGTTGAGAATCATGAGGCCCAGTGTGGTGGCTCACACCTGTAAACCCAGCACTTTGGGAAGCCCAGGTGGGAGGATTACTTGAGCCTAGGGGTTCAAGATCAGCCTGGGCAACATAGGGAGACCCTGTCTCTACAAAAATGATGACAAAAAAAAAAAAAGAGTTAGATAAAATCTGGGCTCCTAGAGATTTGCTCTTGGTTGAAAGTGGGCCAGATATGTGAATTCTTACATCCTTAAAGTTCAAGGTAGCAGTTACCACCCATTTTTGGAGGACATTTCAAAGGAATCAGACAATCAGCTTGTTTCTTAAGGAATTCTGAGAAAAGAGAAAACAAAACTATAATTTCTGTGTAAGTGTCACTGGGCAAACAGGTGTAACATATAGGTCTGGCTCAAGTATGAATAGGTAGGAGAGAATTACAAATTTTTTATGAGCTCTGAAGTTGCAGTAACTTATTTACGTAGATGATAGAGCTCTAATGGATTTGAAGGGTGGAAGTAGAAGTAAAATGTCATACTAGGAGCCTCATAGAATTAAAGAATGCAAGAGCTAGAAGTGGCCTTACAGATCAATGACTAGTTCAAAATTATGAGTCAGTGATAACATTTTCACTGGTCCACAGAAAATTGAGATACATTTGGATAATCTGCTACTTATTTTTTCATAGTATTGGCTCCAAGTGATATTATATATATTTTTAAAAGTTATATAAATTCAATATAAAGAATTGTTCTTTATTCTGAGATTAAATTTGTCTGCACTTTTGTGGTATTAAAATATTCTTTTTTTTTTTTTTTGAGACGAAGCCTCGCTCTCGCTCTGTTACCGAGGCTGGAGTGCAGTAGTGTGATCTTGGCTCACCACAACCTCCGCCTTCCGGGTTCAAGCAATTCTCCTGCCTCGGCCTCCTGAGTAGCTGAAATTACAGGCATGCACCACCACGCCTGGCTAAATTTTTTTGCATTTTTAGTAGAGATGGGGTTTCACCATATTGGGCAAGACTCAAACTCCAGACCTTATGATCTGCCTGCCTCGGCCTCCCAAAGTGCTGGGATTACAGTACCGGAGTCACTGTGCCTGGCCCTAAATAATGAAAAGATGGTGATTACAAATGGTAGTTTGGTCTTTTTGGGGTTTTTTTTGTTGTGGTGGTTGTTTTTTTAAAAACAACTATTCAATATATAATACATATATTCCCAATTAGTTTTTTTCTTTTTCAGATAGGGTCTTGCTCTGTTGCCCAGGGTGAAGTGCAGCAGAGATCATGGCTCACCACAGCCTCCAACTCCTGGGCTCGAGAGATCCTCCTGCTTCAGCCACTTGAGTAGTTGCGACCCCAGGTGCATGTTACGACGCCTGGCTAATTTTTGTCAATTTTTTGTTGAGATGGGATCTCACTGTGTTGCACAGTCTGGTCTCAAACTCCTGGGCTCAAGTGATCCTCCTCTGCCTCAGCCTCCCAAAGTGCTGGCATTACAGGTGTGAGCAACCACATCCAGAGAATGCAAATTTTATACGGCCCATTAGAGTGCATATTAAGCCCTACTGTGCTTTGCCACAATGACGTTTTACAATCATGTAAAATAACTTGACTTTTGCAGGGCCTTTAAAAGCATAAATTATGCGTTGTTGTGATTTTCATCTGATCAAAACTCAACCGGATAGCATAAGAAGATTTTATAAATATACACAAATAAATATATACTTATTTCATAAGCTCCACTTATAAACTCATTGGTTCACTTTCTTCCTTATTAGTCATTAAACAGCAGCCACTATTATTTTTTCCTTGCAGTTCACAACATATAGTTCTAAGGCAATAATTTTGCCTCTAGGACCAGATGGGCCAGCTTACTCATGCCCTTCTGTTGAGTCATGTAAATATCACAAGATGACACATGCTACCAAGACAAACAGAAAAGCCTTTAAACTCAGCCCTGAAGCCAGGAAAATATTCAAAAATTGTGATGCCAAAAATTTTAGCCAATTGATCTCAACTTTTCATTATTATTCCAATTAGTTTCGTAGTCACTGTATTAATGGGAGTTCCTAATGCCTGCTGTTAACTGAAGTTGCTATTTGGTATGCAGATTCACATGCTTACCTTTCTTCCTTGTAAAAAGTTTGAACTAGCAGCTAGAAACTCAACCCACTGAAGAGGCCAAAATGGCTGGGCAGTAGTGGCTCACGCCTGTATTCCCAGCACTCTGGGAGGCTGAGGTGGGCAGACTGCTTGAGTCCAGGATTTTGAGACCAGCCTGGGCAACCTAGTAAAACACTGTCACTACTAAAAATACAATGGGCATGGTGGCGTGTGCCTGTGGTCCCAGCTACTCAGGAGGTGGAGGTGGGAGAATCACCTGAGTCCGGGAAGGTTGAGGCTTCAGTGACTCGAGATCCTGCCATTTTTTTTTTCTTTTCTTTTCATTCTTCTATTCCTGGGATCAAGAGATCCTGCCATTGTACTCCAGCCTGGGCAACAGAGTGAGACCCTGTCCTCCCACCACCAAAAAAAAGCCAAACTAAAACAAAAGCTGTTACCTAATGTAAGAAGGTATCCAGTAAATTAATTTTTTTTTACTTTAAAATAATTTTTTTTGCATTAAAAAAATTTAACCTTAAAAAAAATAAGACAGGGTCTTACCATGTTGCCCAGGCTGGTCTCAAACTCCTGGCCTCAAGTGATCCGCCCGCCTTGGCCTCCCAAAGTGCTGGGATTACAAGCATGAGCCATGGCACCCAGCCCCAGTAAAGTATTATCTTACTCACCATTTTTTCTAAATTTTGAAATAATTTTAGACTTATAGAAAAGTGGTAAAAACTCTACATCCCTGTCCCAGCTTTCCCTCATGTTAACATTTTATATAAACACAGTACAAATATCAAAACTAAGAATTATCACTGGAATAATTCTATTAACTAAACATAGACTTCATTAAGATTTTGCCACTTTCTCCACTAATGTCCTTTCTTGACCTCGAGAGCCAATTCATGATCCCACATAACACAAAAAGGTTAAATTCACAAACCTGTAGGAATCAGGGTTTCATCCACAGGCAAATACGTATCCGCTTCCATGGTGACTTCATGGTCATATATATTTGGAGAACCCTGGGAGGAAAAGGGAGGAGAAAAGGTTTTCTGCTTAGTCTTATTTCATATATTCGCTTTTTAACTTCTCTTGCAAAAATGTTTTCAGGCATTGACAAAAACTTTTAAAATCTTGTTTGGCTCATGGTAATGATTTAATATAATCATTTAAGTGTAGGTAGATAAGGCCTCAAAATAGCAACAGGTACATTTGGAAGAAACTTTCAAGTGTGCACACATTTTCTTTTCTAAATAGAAGATGAAGGTGAAAAGTCAGAGACCACAGTGGCTTGAAAGCCTTTTGGACCTTGCTTTATTAGTGGAGGTATTTCTTCTACTCTTCGCACATGCCAGGCAAACAGAAGGGCAAGGGCTGGTAACCAGGAATACACACATCCTAAGAGGTCAGGGCACTGCTCCAGGCTCACTCCTGGGGTGCATCTGGCACTTCTCTCTGGCCTAGTTTCCATGTAGAGGCCCCACTCTCTGCTCCATGACAGAACCCCAGGGGTCAGAAGTGTGGTTCCTGCTTTTGAGAATTTGTCCGCTTCCTCTGTGAAGATGCAGCCTGCCCTTTTCGGGGAAAGGCTAGTGCAAGAAGCACTGGTCAGTGTCAGAAACCCTGGGGTCTAGTTCCAGCCCTTCCTGAGTGGTCCCAGGGAATTCATGTAACCTCATAGAATCTCATTTCCTTTAGTTTAAAATTGGACTAATGATGCCACTACATTTTCCAAGGTCCTTTAGTAAAGGTATGTTTAGTAAAGGCATGTTGTGCTGTGCAAATACTTTACACATGAATGTTTCTTCTTTCTTTCTCTTTCTCTTTTTCTTTCTTTCTTCTTTCTTTCTTTCTTTCTTTCTTTCTTTCTTTTTCTCTCTCTTTCTCTCTCTTTCTTTCTTTCTTTTTGATGATGTTTTGTTCTTGTCACTTAGGCTAGAGTACAATGATATGATCTCGGTTCGCTGCAACCTCCACCTCCTGGGTTCAAGCTATTCTCCTGCCTCAGCTTCCCAAGTAGCTGGGATTACAGGCGCCTACCACCACACCCAGCTAATTTTTGTATTTTTAGTAGAGTCAGGGTTTCACCAGGTTGGCCAGGCTGGTCTCAAACTCCTAACCTCAGGTGATTCACCCATCTCAGCCTCCCAAAGTGCTTGGGATTACAGGTGTGAGGCACTGTGTCCAGCTGATTTTGTTTGTTTGTTTGTTTGTTTTTGAGACAGGGTTAGGGCAGGTTAGCTGGAAACAGATTCTATGGTAGGAAAGACTGGTTCACACAATCAAGCCAAGTCATTCTGAGAAGAAAGGCCAAGATTTTAGAAACTTTGAGAATGCATATCTAAACATGACAGAAACTGATTTAATTACACTACTAGTAGGCTGTTTATGAAAAACTACGATTCTCTTTTTTTTCTGAGGCAACACTGAGTCTCACTGTGTTGCCCAGGCTGGAGTGCAGTGGTGCAATGTTGGGTCACTGCAACCTTCACCTATAGGGCTCAAGCAATTCTCCTGCCTTAGCCTCCTGAGTAGCTGGGATTACAGGCACCCACCACCACGCCAGAGTAATGTTTGTATTTTTAGTAGAGACCGGGTTTCACCATGTTGGCCAGGCTGGTCTCCAACTCCTGACTTCAAGTGATCCGCCTGCCTTGACCTCCCAAAGTGCTGCGATTACAGGCTTGAGCCACCATGCCCAGCCAGAAGAACTATGATGCTCTTGTATTCTCCAGTGGGTGCATAGTGGGCAGGGGTAGGAGCGGGTGGGGGACAAGGCCAGGGCAGAGGCCTCTTGTCTGCACTTTCTACAGCTTGTTTGGTCCCTGTTCTGAGCTGGAGCAGCAGGTCCAAGACGGGAGAGGGGTTGTACTCCTGCCTAGAGCAGGTCTAGAATAGAGGGGATGTCTCTTCTGTGTGGCTCTCTCTCCTGCCATCCTCTCATGCCTTGGGCTGGTGCCAGCACCTGAAGATGCCCCTGGGACTGTGGGAGAGGAAGAGAATTTGGGACTACCCTATTTTCTTGGCCCTATTTGTTCAACACTCAGGTCAACATGGAGGGCTTTGGGTCAGGCCAGACAGGGGGTGCCAAAGTTGGGTTCAAGGCTTTGTTGGCACTAAACTGGGAGCTGCAGGCCACATACAAAGCTGAGGCTTGTCAGAAAAGGATAACCCAGATGGACAGAGACCCAGATGGACCAGAGAACCCACATACTTCCTGTGCACAAATAAGCCTGGAGGAAAACAACTTATTTTATTTTGTTTATTTTTGAGATAGAGTTTCGCTCTTGTTGCCCAGGCTGGAATGCAGTGGCACAATCTCGGCTCACTGCAACCTCTACCTCCCGAGTTCAAGCAATTCTTCTGCCTCAGCCTCCTGAGTAGCTGGGACTACAGGCATGCACCACCACACCCAGATAATTTTGTATTTTTAGTAGAGACGGGGTTTCTCCACATTGGTCAGGCTGGTCTTGAACTCCTGACCCCAGGTGATCCACCTGCCTCAGCCTCTCAAAGTGCTGGGATTACAGGTGTAGGCCACCACGCCCGGCCAACCTCTCTAATGTCATCCAATGACCGAGGCCCAGATGGACCAGAGAATCCACATACTTCCTGTGCACAAATAAGCCTGGAGGAACACAAACTCTCTAATTTCATCCATTGAGGGATGCCTGCAGGAGGCAAAGCCATTCTCCATTAATTCAGGTCTTCAGCCTGCTTCCTAGGTGCCTGCCTCCATAGAAACAGAACCATGCAGTATATATTCTTTCGTGCTTTGCTACTTCCATACAACATAATGCTCCTGGGATCATCCATGTTATATTTCTTTGTATTGTTGAGCAGTATTCCACCGTATGACTCTATCACAATTTGTTTGTCCATTCTCCTGTTGATAGACTTTTGGGTTATTTCCAGTGTTTTACTATAATAAATAAAGCTGCTTAGAAATTTCCATTTTTTGGGTTTTTTTTTTTTTTTTTTTAAAGCATTAGAGAAATGAATCAATATGAAAATCATACACCAAATAAACTGATGAGTCAGATTTAGGAAGAAGCCCAGGAGGAGAAGGAAAAAAACATTCATCAGGTGCCCACTTCATGGTCACTGGGTCACGAAGTGGTAGTAACATTCCTTCATTAATGAGTGCATGCTTCAGTTTATGACTCTTCTAGGCTGGAAAAATGTAATGATCTACTCTGGTGGAATACTACTGTTGGAATCATTTCCTTTCAAGGTTGATGAAAACTTGGCAAGAAATGATGATTCACAAGCAGACCTTAAGGCCTGTCTCTGGGTTCAGTGTTAGTTTTGGTTAACTTTGCTTGGCTGCTACTCATTTGTAACATTGACCATTTATAGAGCCCATTATGATTTGCAGGGGACTTTAAAGACTTTGTTGTGCAGGGTCACTACCACAGCCATAACTCAGCTTTCATCACCTCTAGCAGGAGGGTACAGACACTGTGGGTTGCTACCCCCACAAGCCACAGCAGCTCCTTTACCAGCAACTCCCTGCCCCCAGGCAGAAATCGGGCTTGTTGATTTATCCTATGCTAGACCAGATATTCTGATATTCAGGGAAGGGGACCTTCCTCTCCATTCCCAGAGGGTGAATTTTGACTGGTCTAAGTCAATCATGGTGGCCTAATTCCCTTGCTGGCGATTGAGTTAGGAAGAGCATAGGCCACACTTCTGGCCAATAAGAAGTCAGAGAAAATTGGCTGGAGGGCTTCTAAGAAAGGTTTTGCTTTTTCTTAAAAAGAGAACATTAGGTCTGGGTGGATCATTAGGCGGGCGGATCATGAGATCAGGAGTTTGAGACCAGCCTGGCCAACATGGTGAAACCCCATCTCTACTAAAGATACAAAAAATTAGCCGGGCGTGGTGGTACACACCTGTAATCCAGCTACTGGAGAGGTTAAGGGAGGAGAATTGCTTGAACCCGGGAGGCAGAGGTTGCAGTGAGCCCTGGAGCCATTGCACTTTAGCCTGGGGCACAGGGGGGAGACTCCGTCTCAAAAAAAAAAAAAAAAACATGGCCGGCTGCAGTGGCTCACGCCTGTAATCCCAGCACTTTGGGAGGCCAAGATGAGTGGATCATGGGGTCAGGAGTTCAAGATCAGCTGGGTCAAGATGGTGAAACCCCATCTCTTAAAAAAAAAAAAAAAAAAAAAAA